ATATATATATATATATATATATATATATATATATATATATATATATATATATATATATATATATATAATTTTTTTTATATATATTTTCAAATATAATTAATGTGATGGCAGCCATTCTTTGTGCCAAAATGAGGGACAGTAATATGCAAAAATAAATGTAAATATTTTTTATACAATTTGAGATGATTTGTGTAAATAATACTAATAATATTATTATACGATTAAACGTCTGGAAAATACAATAAAATTAATTTCCAAGACAGTTTCACAGATTTAATAAGACCTTCATTTTCAAACACAAACACACAGGTTTGTTTTTGTGAATTGTGGGGACTTCCATAGGGGTAATGGTTTTTATACTGTACAAACTGTATTTTCTATCGCCCTACACCAGGGTTCCTCAATTAGTTTTCGCCGAGGGCCGAATTCTGCCAACAATACCAAGCCAAGGGCCACTGGCCTATATATATATATATATATAATTGTTATTATTATTAAAATGATTATATTATTGTTGCTTTTGTTAAAATAACCACAAGATGGTCACAAGATGAATATTCAGATTTTTTCCCCAGTAGTCTGTTTTATTCAAACAATAATGAACATTTTGCATTTAGATACAGAAGAACTTTGCCTGTTGAATATTAAAAACAAATGAACAAACAAAAAATCTGGATCTCCATGTCTGCCATTCAAATCAACTGTTCCTGCTCGTCCCCGGACTGGATCTCTTCTCTCCACTTTCCCTAATTACTTATTCAATTATTATATTTGTCAGTATTAATATTTTTATGCTTAGATTTTTTTGGGGGGATCAAACTGTAACACCGTGTGTCCCAACCAGACACGACGAGATAAAAAGTATCTTTTTCATGTAGTTTGTGTCCTAACCACCCGCGACAGCGACACGTGACAATAAGCAACATGGAATTCTATTTAAGGAACGGTTTTTAGTTTCTGCGACGTCGCTGCAGGAACAACATACAAAATATGACAGTGATAATCTCAGGTAATGATTATGTGCTTTAATCAATGTAAAAAGTGTCTAATGTGAGTTTGAATATTATTTTGCGTTATCTTTATAGCCATAGTGAAAGCAACAATAGGCTAGATATTTTACCTCAGATCTTGAAAATAAATTAAAGCAAACATGTACGTTAAAACTGTGAACTCACTGCGAACCAACACGTGTATTCCATAACAAAGATATCACTCACTCACTCACTCAAAACTGTCCATTCACATTTGAATCATCTATTTTCCGTGTCCACTTTTCTTTTCTACACACTTGCTGTCACATCGCATCTACACTGGACGCGACAAAGCATTGCAAATCATTTGAACGTTGTGTCAGTACATTATAAATAGAACGAGTCAGCAGTTCACTGTTGGGGATTTGTCGTGTCTCGCCGCATCCAAGACAGCATCTCTGATTATAATGAGTTGTATTGTATTTTACTGCGTCGCGGCGCGTACGGTGTAGACACAATGTAAGTTAATGTAGCTTTCTGATGCTGCGTTTGAATTTTCATGTCACATTATTTGAAATTAGTGCGGGCCAACTTTTTCTCTCACGGGCCGGATGTGGCCCGCGGGCCGCCTATTGAGGAACCCTGCCCTACACCAACCATACACCCTAACCCTACCCCTTACAGGAAACTTTGTTCATTTTTACTTTCTCAAAAAAACTCATTCTGTTTGATTTATAAGCCTTTTGAAATATGGGGCAATGTCCTCATAAATCACCTTCTCCTTGTAATGCCTATGTCATACCCATGTCATTATACAAATTTGTGTCCTCATATGTCACAAAAACGCGCGCACACACACAAGAAATAAAGTGCTTGTTGTTGAAGAAACTGCTATAGACAGTCTTTTGGATATTATTTTGAATCTGTCTGCGCTTGTATTCTCTGATAGTGCTGATAGTATAAATTATTTAGTAGTCTTTCCAAACATTTTTTTTGCTGGTTTACTGTACAGTCCAAAGTTTACTGCACGGCGAAGTATCGGCAGTGCTGCGCCACGGCAAAAGAAATGATATTTTACTCGACTTGTGAACTTGCAGTCTGAATTGAAGTTGATAAGAGCAAAATACTGTGCGGCACAAGATTATACAAGGGCAATAACTTTAATAAAATGTTTCTGTTGTGTGATATTAGCTGGCTACATGCACAACCGTTTGTGACCATTTATCTGCATTTTAAAACTTCGAATAGAATCAGAATCTAAAGTTTGAACTGTAAAATACTCACCTTCACCAGGAAAAAGGACACTCCGTATGTGCGTAGGGACCTGGCAAGCTTCACATACTTTACTTTTGCCTCAATCTCTGTCATCTCACCGCAGCTTTTGTGATCCTGGTGAGGAGATTAAGATATGAACACTTCTCAGCCATTGTGGGATTTGAACCAACAACCTTTTGGTAACAAGCCAACTTAGTCAGTTGTGTTTTTAATAAGGTTTTAATTCACACTGGAGAGCTCATGGAGCTCAGGAGAGCTTTTCAGATATATGCTGAAAACACATAAAAACACGTTATGAGAAGTAATACTCAGATACACACACACACACACACACACACACACATATATATATATTAGTGCTGTCAAACGATTAATCGCATCCAAAATAAACGTTTTTGTTTACATAATATATGTGTGTGTACTGTGTATATTTATTATGTATACTGTATATAAATCGATTAATCTGCATGTATATAATTAAGAAAAATATGTTATGTTTATATTTTAAATGTATTTATATATAATATAAATTATATAAATATATACTGTACATGTAAATCCATGTAAATATTTTCAAAATATATATTGTATGTGCGTGTATTTATATATACATCATAAATATACACTGTACACAGACATATATTATGTAAACAAAAACTTTTATTTTGGATGCGATTAATCATTTGACAGCACTAATATATATATGTATGTATCTGAGTAACAGGGTTGAAAATCAAGCTTAAATTACGAGCTAGTTTGTCTGGAATCAAAGTTTTGTTTGTCATTATTGCTAAAATTCCTATTAATTAAAAAAATATTTGTTTGATTTCTTTCCTTTTTGTTTTCTTACAATAACTTTGGAAATAGGGCTGAATGGTTGAGCTTAAATCACAGGAAACAACAATGTTTGTACGCAAGATTTATTTTTTCTTCTTTTTTGCCAATCATAATTAAAATCATACAGTTATCTACAGAATTGAAATTATCTATTGAATTGATATTCTGTACATTGTAATAAAACAATTTTAATAAAACAAACTTTAAAGAAATCTTTTTAACTACCAAAAGTTAAATATTTAGCTGTATCCCATATTTTGCATTATAACACATTACATTTTTTCCAGTTTTTTACAACCACTGTTGTTTATTGCGATTTCAGCTCAACCATTCAACCCTGTTACCAAAGTTACTGTAAGAAAACAAAAACTGAAAGAAATCAAATTTTTTTTTTCATTGATAGGAAATGTATCAATATTTACAAACAAAGCTTTGATTCCAGACAAGGTTGTAATTTCAGCTTGATTTTCAACCCTGTTACTCAGATTTCATATCAATTTCATTTTTACAATTTTGTATAAAATAAAATTTTGATATTTAAGTTTAAAATTAAGGGGAAATACACAAATCATGGTATAAAATTGCATTTAGGCCGTACTTAGATATGTTCCAAATATTAATAACAAGGTTGCAAAAATTCCAAACCCCATAGAATGAACAGAAAATAAAACCACTCACGCAATATTTAGCTTGACCTCCTGCAATCCACATTTTCTCCAAGGTTAAGACATTCCTTTCAGTGACCATGTGTTGAAATATTCAAAAACCCTTAATTTTTAATGGTTTCAGGCTGTTTTTTGTATGTTAGTCATGGACAGTGCCTAATAGTATGTTTTCTTAGAATACCGGATTGTGTAAAGCCGTCAGAGGTTCACGTACCTGAAAAATTCTCTTCTCCGCCCCCCTCTGTTTGATGTATTCTTTTGGTAGGAACTCCTTCAGGCTGCAAATACATTTCACATGTTTACTCTCATACTACACAAACATTTTTCCATCAGAGCAGAACAAAACACATGAGGTCATCCTGGGGGGAATTACATCTTCATAACATATGCCCACACTGACTGTTAAGGTTTCCAGACAGCACAGAATTCTTGCAAATAATTGTCTGGTCTAAAATGTAATCAGATAACAACTGAAAGAGCCTGTGTGTGTGTTACAGTGACAGTGTTGAATGGGCTACATATGATACCGCAGCTACAAGGCATGTGGTCTTACTCTAAAAATCCTGGCTTGTGTTTGTGCTCCACGTGGGGACCGAATTGGATCTGTGCCTGAATTCCAGTGAACTCGCAGGCCTTATCAAAGGACACGGGGTGGGATCCGTTCAGAATGTCATCCCTGGCCTGAAATGGAGACAGGAAACAAGAGCAGATGTTACAGAATGTAATGAGGGTGCTAACAAAGATGTTACAGAAAGTATGCGGTGCATCCGCTAACATTCGCAGACAAAAACATTTGAAGGGCCATCAACATCTTTAAAGAATATTCAGATCAGTATATTAACACAAGAATCTCTGTGCAGAGATGAGATATCGCTAATAAGCAACTTTAGCGACATATAGCTGCGAGATAAAATGATTTTGTGAGTTGAGGAAGGCTTCTCATCTTGACTTCTTGTTTTTTTAAGCAGTAGCACACAATTCATAACACGTGATTCCTGCAGGCACGCTTTAACAGACTTGCTGGGATTGTACGGACACAATCTTAGAAGTAACATTAGTTTCTCCATTTCAGCAGAGATACAAATGCCCAAAAGAAAAAAAAAAGACATAAAAGGAGCAATTCACTTAAAAATACAAATTCGGCCATCATTTACTCACTCATGTCATTACAAATCTGTATGCTTGTTTTTTTTAAAGCGGAAAATTAGAAATTTGAAATAAACTTTACACTATTTTTTCCAAACAAGTTCATACAAGAATACTATATAACAACTAATAGCAATATCTGTCAAGTTCAAAACCAAACCAATCTAAAGAAAACCAAAATAAAGTAAACCAAACCAACCCACTTAATGAACATAAACCAAAAAAAAAAACAAACCAAAAAAAAAACAAAAAGAAACAACCGCCCCCCCCCCCCCAAAAAAGCCAAACTCTACCAAACCAAAAAAAAAAACACATAACACGTGATTCCTGCAGGCACGCTTTAACAGACTTGCTGGGATTGTACGGACACAATCTTAGAAGCAACATTAGTTTCTCCATTTCAGCAGAGATACAAATGCCCAAAAGAAAAAAAAAAGACATAAAAGGAGCAATTCACTTAAAAATACAAATTCGGCCATCATTTACTCACTCATATCATTACAAATCTGTATGCTTGTTTTTTTTAAAGCGGAAAATTCGAAATTTGAAATAAACTTTACACTATTTTTTCCAAACAAGTTCATACAAGAATACTATATAACAACTAATAGCAATATCTGTCAAGTTCAAAACCAAACCAATCTAAAGAAAACCAAAATAAAGTAAACCAAACCAACCCACTTAATGAACATAAACCAAAAAAAAAAACAAACCAAAAAAAAAACAAAAAGAAACAACCCCCCCCCCCCCCCAAAAAAAAGCCAAACTCTACTAAACCAAACAAAAAAACTAATAAAAAAAACAAACAAAACAAAACTAATCAAACAAACAGAAAACAAACAAAAAACACCCTCCCCCCCCAAAACAAAAACAGGCCAAACTAAACTACTAAACCAATCCAAATGCAAAAAAATTGAAAAAAATAAAAGAAATATTCAACCAAACAAGCAAACAGAAAACAAAGGGTTTCCAAATTAGGGTGGAAATGCAGGGGGTTTGTGAGTTGATGAAAGGCTAATGATTAAATAAAAATACTTAAAATTACAATAAATAAACAATTTTAAAACAAAGAGAATCAAATAAAACACTTATTAAAAAGTATAAAACCTTTTATTTTGGGTGACCAACATCAGAAAACCATGAAACATGTGAATGTGTCATTAAATATTGAAATATTAACTCAAAATCACAGGTGGTACTTCAAGAAATCATTTTTCATCAAAGAGGTTCAGCTGCCAAAAAAGTTCAGGAATCTCTGTTATATGGAAAAGCACTTCGAGAAGATTCTTTAAAAATTCTCCTTTTGAGCTCCACAGAGTAAAAGTAACAGCATGTGGGATTGGAACAACATGAGGGCGAGTAAATACTGACAGATTATCATTTTTATGTGAACGATCCCTTTAAGATGTTTCAATAACACTGCGTGGTGACACTGAGTGCAGTCTAATATTACAGAGGGTCCTCCTGATATACACCCGAGTGTAGTTCAGTTTAAAACCTGAAAGGGTGCATCTTACAGAAATATTTTAGTGCTTTCCATGTAAAATATTTCATAAATAAATAAATAATAAAATACCCACCAAGTGAGCATCTACTAAACAAGCGGCATCTATTTGCAGAGCCAAGTTTGTGAGTTTTCAAACAATCTGGATGAAGTAATTATAAGAGCAGAGGCAGAAACGTACACAAGCTTGTTTGTGAGAGTGTATACTTGGCTGATGTTGTGAGTGGGGACTGAGGTCATGAACGTTTTACATCATCATAAACAAGTCCGTGTGTGAGGGGCCCCGCCCTCAGGACATCCACCAATCATCTCGCATCGCTCCCAGATGACATCAACATGGTAACAGTAACAGATACAGTCAGTGAGGGTTTATGGGAACACATCATGACAAACTAAGATATGACGCGCTCACGCCCCCAGCGTGGAGCAGAGAAATCCCCTTCAGGCTGCCAAACACTCCTGAGCGCATACATGTGCAGCAGCCTCAGTGTGTGTGTGTGTGAGAGCTGTGCTCTTCTGTTTCTGAAAGTATGTGGGTGTGTGTGGCACCATGCCAGGAAATTTCACGCGGGCGTGTGTGTTTACTACAGAGGAAGACAGAGGAAAGGGAGGAGAAGTGTTACAGTATGCGTGCACATGTGTGTGTGTGTGTGTGTGTGTAGTGACTCGCATGCACCTTTTTACCAGCATGGACAAAACACCTCAGTAAATCTATCAATTACAAAAAAAAGCCCATGGAATTCATAAAAAAACAACTGTACAGTAACATGTAAATACCATGTACACGGATTTGGTAATAGTAGCATCATGGTAATAGTAGTAGTAGTAGTAGTAGTGATTTATTATTAATTAATACCATGAAATCCCCTCGTAAAGGCATTACCTTTATGAAAATTATCCATGGTTTTATTATAGTAAAAGTGCAGTAACCATGGTCTTTCGGCATGTTGATTACCATTACATTTTTACTACAAATTCTATGGTTAGTGTAGCAAAACCATGGTTAATTTGTGGTTAATATTGGTTTAACTACAGTAACCATAGTTTTTTGTTTCATTTGTAGGAAAACCATGGTCAATGGTTTCATAAGGGATACCATGTGTCTTGACATGGTACCATAGCAGAACCATGTTGCAAGAATATGATAAAGTACCATGGTATTACCACGTTTTTGAATGTATTAGGCTAATACCATGGAAATCTGAAGTAGAAATGTAAACACCATGTTTTTGGACATAGGTAATAGTATAAGGTAATAGTGCGGTAATTCTTTTAAGTACATGGTAAATGAATATAGTAATCATAGTAATACGTTGTCTATAGCTGGTCTCCCAGCCTGACCAGATTAAAAAAAAAACAAATACAGTAATCATAGTACATGAGTATATAATAGGGTACCATGGTATTATTATGTTTTTAAGACAAATATCATGATGATACTAGGTTTCTTTAACCTTCTTTTGTTTTTGGAAATGTACCATGCTAATACCATGGTTTTCTTTAAAAATACCATGTAGTACCATGTACATTCTATACTACGGTAAATGAATATGGTACCATATTTGTATAATGATTTTGAACATGGTATTGCCATATTTTCTGGACAGTACCAAGGTTAAAAACACCATGCATGGTAATACAGTGTAGTATGTAGGTTACCATACTAAAACTATGATTTTTGGTTACGTAAAAACCACAGCACCATGATATTGCCACAGTATTTTTTAAGTGTACAGTATGTGGAAACTTGTGATTTTGTAAACACACATTTAATAACAAGGATACAGCCATGTTTTCCTTTCAAACCCAGAAATACTGACCATATATTGGCAAAAAAAGTGCTTATTCATCATCTTATATAAGTTATTAAGTGCAGGTGACAGAATATGTGCGTGTTTGTCAGTGGGAAGTTGAAATCTGCTCTGAAATCCTCAGGCAGACACACTAATGCATCTGCAGCGAGCCGTGTGCTCCAGAGGCCGGTCAGAGCACTGCGGCCCGTCTGCTCCAACAGCTCACGGCCTCGAGGGAAACTACGCACTAGCGCAGAGCTCCTTGAGCGGACACACACATTCACACTGTGCTACTCTCACACACACACACACACACACATTTACATACATAAACATGCATGCATGAAGAGCCACTGGCCACTTTGTGACACAAGTCCTTTTGACTCAAACCAGAGAGAGAACAAAATATGCTTGTGTGAATGTGTGACAACATCACATGTAAGATCATGTGCAAACTTAGCATGACGGAAAAAAATAATAATTCCTGGTTTCCTTGTTAAAAAAGTTTTATCGGTTGTGTTTTGTGATAAATGTTTTTAATCACATTAAACTAACCATCCATCAAAATTATTGATTATGCAAAAAACCTGCGAAAAGTGCTTAATTAGGTGAAGGTGTAAAAGTATGATGTAATAAAATTTCAAGCAATAATTTCAATAGTGTCTTTAAAAATATTAACCCCCAAACGTGTTTTAATGGTAGCTACAAGAAGTCATGAAAAACATTAGCATAGCCCATCCTCACGCTTCTCCTCCACCTGCTCTTGGATCAGTGAGTACTCCTCATAATTAGTGATTCCTGTGGAGCACAAGATAATCAGCATAATCTCTATCTGTCAGTCTTTCAAACTCTCCAGCACAGGTCTTGTACGAAACTAAATAAATAGTTTGTATGAAACTGAATAAAAAATCATTAAGCTTACAGGAATGTATGAAAACAGCTTGATTGTAAATCATTCAGGGAAATAAAAAGAAATTAAATAAAATGTAAATGAGGAGGCTAATGCTTTAAGTTCCATCACATTGTCGCTTAAACTGGCCATTTAAACTGAAAAGGACCATGTAAAGTCATATTTTTCATGTGATGCTTAAGAGTCATAAATCCAATATTGGATTTGTTCCCGTTAAATCTTTAAACCATGAGAATAAGAATTATATTGTTTGTTTGATGCTAATTATATAATAAGTCATATCAGAAATGTATTTTTATTATAGAAATACATTATAGAAAATGCTGACCCATGATGTGTGAGATGATAATATAAAATTAAATAAATATATAATAAATAAAAAATTACCTTGTTATAACAGTGTTTTATAATTTATACAGATAACTATTATATATGCCAATAATATATATATATATATATATATATATATATATATATATATATTAGTGCTGGGCAACTATTAACATTTTTAATCGCGATTAATCGCATGATTTTTCTGCGATTAATCGCATTATGCACAAAATTCAATAATGAATTCAAAAGTAGTGTATTGTGCACTTTTTTTATTTAAAAGTACTGCTATATGAACAAAAGTGCAATAACATCTGGTTTGCAAACACTTTAAACAAATAAGGTGCTTTTTTTTTACAGCAGTATTCCTTTTACATAGTAGCAGTTAAAATATTTCTTGTAAATCTCAACTTAAACCTTAATGTAATCAAATTAAATATAAAACCAAAGCTATTTGCCACTGCCAGGGCATTAACGTTTTTATAGAAAATATTTTATAGTTTGTTATAGAAAAACAAGTTATGCTCAGAGTCCAGAGCCGCGATCATAACATTAGAACAGGCACCTTCCGAGTAGAGACCGTGGGACCTGCGGGACAACACTTGATGGGCGAGTGCGGGTGTGGGCGGTTAGAGATTCGTGTGTACGGAATGCGGGAGTATAAGGGTGTACTCACACTAGGCAATCTTAACCGTGCCCAAGCGTGTTTGACCCCCAAAGCCCGGTTCATTTGACTAGTGTGATCACCCCGTGCCACGCCCGGGAGTGGTTCATTTAGCCGGCCCTGGCTCGGTTGGGCCAGAGGTGGGCCAGAGCGCGGTTCAGTTGGGCTCAGGTGTACGCACGTAGTGTCGGAGCGCAGAATTTCTGATACGTGCAGCTGCAGCATGATTGCGTGACCATTTCTGAGTGGCAAAAGTGATAGCAAAGCAATATATTATGAGAGGGCCATGTGTTACCGCGTCCCAAACGACTCAAAATAATAAACCACAAAGTTAACAAAACGATGCACTCCACTGTGCTGAGCGAGAGCGCTTCTCTGCCGTCTTCACATGCTATCGGAAACTTCCTATTTCCCACTTATGAAGTCATGATTACGAGCCTTTTTACAGTCTATGTTACGCGCATGCTGCATTCTTTTCTGTTAAAAATAACAGTGAACAGTGGTTTGTAAAGCCTAAATAATTTTATCGGGAGCATTCATGTGAGCGCTGCTGCAGTTTAGGCCTACACCAAATGCTCTCATTGGTTGAGACGCGTGATAACGCTCATCCCAAGCCAGTACTGATTAACATCCCACCCCTCCTGTGTGTATATGTGTGTGTATATATATATGTATATATATACACATATATATTAGGGCTGTCAGTCGATTAAAATTTTTAATCTAATTAATTATTTAAAGCTGTTTTTGTGTTAAATGAGAAAGTATCAAGTAGACTTTACAAATTGTAGCTTTAGAAAGAAATATTTTATTTGATTCAACAATTTATTACACAAACATTTAGGCTCACAGTGTCAGGCCTAACGTAAACTATGGAACATAAAAGAAGATAATTTTAGAAACATCTCAGTATTTTTGGTTCATACAATGAAAGTCATTAGTAACTAAAACAGCTTTGTTACCAACCGTCTTCAGAAAACCTTCTTTTATGTTCCACAAATTAAAGGTTTGAAACAACATGAGGGTGAGTAAATGATGACAGAATTGTAATTTTTAAATCAAATTAAAAAATTTTATTTGTTATTTCGTTTTTTTATGAAATGATACTCTAAATAAGAAACTAAATCTGCCAGCAGGTGGCGGTAAATGTCGTCATTTGATTCGTTCAAATGGCTGATTCATTCAGGAATGAAGTAAACGGCTCTATGAATAGACTATTAAATCATTGGTACAAACGAATCTTTCAAAACGCGGATTCATTCAGAAACTAAACACTGCTGTGTTGTTCGGAGACGCGCGACAATTCTGCTGTGGCTTTAGGTAATATGTTCTCTGCAAAACTGAGCAAAAACACAATATTTTGTTTAAAATATAACTATCAACTTCTTATTTACTGAACTGTTGTATAAAATCACATCAAACTCATGATATTCGGGACAAAATCAGCACTCGTGTAATAGGCTACTGCTCTCGCTGCTCGTGTGATATCGTATGATATAAATGTGAGATAAAATCTCATACAGGGGGACTTTTTGCACCAATATCTTGAATTTTAGGGCATTACTGCATTTATGGAGTTGTTGCCCTGCATCTTATTTGTCAACAGTCAACTGCATGAAACGTAAGATGATGTACAGATCTGGGGGCAGAGCCAGTGCATTAACTGCATTAAAAGAAATTTTTCATAACTAATTAAGTTAACACGTTAAACTGACAGCCCTAATATATATATATATATATTACATAACTATATTGTAATAATATACAATATTGTGCGCAATCTGTCACACACACTGGAGTCTCGACAGTAGGTCAAGCATGTGCTGAGAGTGCTGAAGTGAACTAACCCTGAAACAGAACCTACTACGGAGTAGGTTATGTTCAGAGAATAAGTTGCTATGGCTACTTACATAGCATGAAAGTTACCTCCGTTTTTGGAAGCGAAAGCTGAGTTTATCCGCTTACTTACCCTTAAACATACCTGGGTATGTCACATAACCTGCTTTCTGGAATACCCCCCAGTTAAGTTTTAAGCCCAATATTTATGGCAAACTTGACAGGATAAAAGAAGGACCCACCTATCCTACTGCAGATGGTGACCAACAGCTCCCCTACTGTTTTGGAGTCATCCACCATTATGGTTTTGATGGTTCCATCCAGCATTTTGATCTTCTGAGGTCTCTGTTTTTTCTTGTACTCCAGGACGTCCTGTACAGGATGAGAATAAGTGCTGAAATGAAGCTTAGAATCACAATGGAAATAAAAACTTACGAAAGTCTGAAGAGAATACTGATAAGTCAAATAATGCGATTTACCCCGTTCCGCAGCATGTAGTAATCAAGGGTGCGCCCTGATTCCAACCAGATTCCTTTCCTGGGGTCATCATCGGACAGGAAGAGCCCGTAATCCGATGCTGCAATAAGTTTTACATAATTAAAACAACAACTTGCCCCATGGAAGCAGATACTAAATCAAAGAGATCCTGTTACGTCTACAAATACGTTTGTAATAAATATCAGACTCTTCATTAAACCAAAAAGCAGTTTGTCTTTGATCCTAAAAGAAACAATTGACATTTATAAGATGAGTCCAATTCATTGTGGCCATTGAGGGCAGCAATCATGTGCATCGCATGGGAAAACAGTCATATAACTGTAGCTGGCCGAATAATGAATGTACACAGAGTGGCAGAGCTGCAGACTCATCCCGAAGTGATGACTCCTGTTGAGCTGATAGCACACAGGAGTCCATTTCACAAGCTCCAGCAAGCAGAGAACATTAATGCTCGACTTTGTGGCCGTTTGATGACTTGAGTGGAGACGGAAAGAGAAAGAGTGCACTTATCCATCAGACTCAACCTGAAGCAAAACTGGTCATCAGCTGAGGTTGCACATAGCGTAACACTTTACCACCCAAGTTTTGACATGACGGATACAGAAACATCTACTGATGTGAAGCAGCTGGTATAAATCCAAACTTTTGTCAAGCTCTGCAGATATTTACAAAATTTAGACAGAACATAAAAGTTCCCCCTGCCCCAAGTGTGTTTAAGGAATATTTAGATAATACTATCATCCGCAAAAAATTGGTATTCTTGGTTTCTCTAACACAGTGTATATTTAAATCCATTCCAAGTAATTCCAGAGTTTTCCTCAGAAAATGTGACAAAATGTGCCAATTTGAATACACATGTGTGCCAATTATGAAATTGTAAATATGAATCCAAAATTGACCTAATGAACTTAAAAAACTTGAATAATTCAGTGTATTTTATTCCAATAAAATAAAAAAGTCATCTTTAATCAAAACGTAGTAACTTGTTGTGCCTCTAAAATGACTTGCCTTTTCAGGTGGTCATCAAGGCTGGTTAAAAAGTAAAGCGTACAATTTTGCCTAAAATTCACCAAACAGAATTTCAAAAAGACTTGCGAAAACGTTCCTGAACACTCCCCCATCTACCATTGGTTGAACAAAAAGCTAGTCCCGCCCCCAAACTCACACCACTGATTGAACCAGTGTTGCTGTGTCCGGCTGGTTTGATGCTCAAACAAACAGAAACGGAGTTGTAGTAAAGCGTTGTAGAGCGTAAAATGGTGGGAAGCCTAGAGGAATATTCTGCAAATCTTACCTTGTCCACTTTGGGCCTCTGGAACTCGCTCTCTGATAATCCTGCAGGCGTCGTAAACCGGAGTTGAGGGCTCAAACTGCATCGTCTTGACCACATTGCACTGTCGCACACAAATCTTCAGCGACAGGGCCACCATCGTGACTGCTGCTCGAATGGGAGCACCCACTAACACACCTGTAGAGACCAAAATAAACAATCTGTCAGTTTCTCTGAAACGACCAGCACCCGTTCATTCTTTGAAGTCCACACCACTACATCAAAACATGTTTTAATCTGGATTAACTGGAGCAGACGTAAATGTGAACACAAGTGATTTGCAGTTGAGTTCAACTCTAGCACTGGTTAATGAAATATGCCTGCCACTGAAGATAAGAGAGCGAGATCAGAGCTTTGTGTAGGCTTACAATATGAGCTTCTTACTGCCAAGAGACGGCTGTAATGTAGTTATTAGATTAGTAGAACAGCACTGCCCTTTAAATACTGAGCAGAGGAAAAGATTCTACTGCCAACTGGGTGTTTAGCCTAGGCTCACTCAACCTCAACCAAATATCATAGCTATGAAATATAATCTTTCCACAAGAGAGAAACCTTCCAGTTTTAAAAATCAGGTAAAGTGGTTATAGAGAGAGACTAAGATCAAGCAGAATATTTCTGAATTACGGTAGTGTTTGATTGACGCGACAAGATATCAATAGAGATCAGCAAATCACAAGATCAGATTCATAACCATCAAACTCAAAGCCGAAATCAGATTGGCGACAGACATAAGAGTAGAGAAGTGACTAGTAACTGAGATCAGATTCATACCAGAGATCAGATCTGCAGAAATCAGACTTGTAACTGACATGAGATTTTTTTACCTGAGATTTGTTTGGAACTGAGATCAGACTAGTGACTGAGGTCAGATTTGTATAAGAAATTTGACTCATATCAGACTCGCAATAGATCAGATTAATACCAAAGATTTGACTCCCAACAGATCAGACTCAAAGCAACGATCAGATCTGCAACAGAAATCAGACCCTGTTGGAAAAAAAACAGCATATGCTGGTTAGGTATGTTTTGAAGTTTGGCAGCTGGTTTGAGCTGGTTTAATATGCTCCTGCTCATAACCAGCTTATAACCAGCTCAGGACCAGCTTAAACCAGCTCATGACTAAATAAAGACCAGCTTAAACAAGCTCAAACCAGCTGTCATGCTTCAAAACATACCTAACCAGCATATGCTGTTTTTTTTCAACAGGGGATTCAGAGCAGAGATTTGACTTCTGAGATCAGAATTGCATTAGAGTATCAGACTCGCAACTGAGATCAGATTATACCAGAAATTTGACCCGTAACAGATCACGCTCAAATGAAAGATCAGATTTGCAACATAAATCAGATCCAGAGCAAAGATCTGACTCGTAATTTACATGAAATTTGCATCAGTGATTTCTTTCGTAACAAAGATGCAACTCGTAACTGAGATAAGACTGATAAGAGACTCATAATCAGACTCATAGAAATTTGACTCGTAACAAATCAGACTTAGATAAGATCAGATCTGCAACAAAAATCAGATTCAGTGCAGAGATCTGACTCGTAACTGAGATCAGATTTGTACCAGAGATTTGATTTGTAACAGATCAGACACAATATTTGCACCAGAGATTTGTTTGTAACTGAGATCAGATTTGTAAAAGAGGCTTGACTCGTACCACAGATTTGACTCCCAACAGATCAGACTCAAAGCAGCGATCAGATTTGCAACAGAGATCAGATTCAGAGTAGAGATCTTACCTGAAACTTAGATCAGAATCGTATTAGAGATTTGACTCATAACTGAGATCTAAATCATATCAGTGGTTTGACTTGTACCAGACATCAGACTCACAACTGAGATCAGATTTATACCAGAGATTTGAACTGTAACAGATCAGATTCAAATGAGAGATCAGATTTGCAACAGAAATCAGAGCACAGATCTGACCTGTAACTGACATGAGATTTGTACCAGTGATTTTATTCGTAACAGAGATCCAACTCTTAACTGAGATCAGACTCATAATTGAGATCAGGATTGCATAAGAGATTTGACTCATACCAGAGATCAGACTCATACTAGACATTTCACTCATAAAAAAGTCAGACTTAGATGAGATCAAATCTGTAACAGAGATCAGATTCAGAGAAGAGATCTGACTTGTAACTGAGATTGCCAGAGTCTGCACCTGTACCACTCTGTACCAGAGATTTGTAACAGATCAGACACATAACGTAGATCAGATTAATACCTGAGAACTTATTGTGTAACAGAGCACAGACTTGCAAACGAGATCAGACTTACAATTAATATCAGATAACAAAGATCTCGTAACCAAGATCAAACTGCCATCTCATCTGTATCAGATTCTTAAAGAAAATGGTTTTGTTTCTCTGAGGCCTCACAGGGTGAAGTACACCAGAATATGGGTAGTGCTGCAGTAAAAGACCCTGGCCAGATTCTGTGGCACTTCCACTTGACAAAGTACTTTAAAATCAGTATCAAACTAAAATAAAAATCAGAAACTCAGACCAAATAGAGAAGACATACTCTCAAATCAAAGAAACCATTATAAACAGCCCAGAAATCACAGTCAGACAGTCCAGCTGAAGTGACTGAGAGTCAGGTATGAAGTGAGATGTGTCTGTCTGATAGTATCTCACCAGCGCCAGGAATACTTTAACAGAAGACAGAGAGGACTAATCTTTTTTCGATAATGGACTTGTGAACGAGCTCCACATTGTCTACTCACTCAGTCACCAAGTGTGCATGTGTGCGTGCGCACACATACACACAATAATAAGCAGGGAGAAAAGCTCTGTATAGTCCTTTCATTCAGAGGAGGGCACACAAGGGACATGCAGAGGTATTGTGGACCAGATGAGAAGTCCCACAGAGACCACACACACATTGGGTTTCAATGTTTTATGGGGACATTCCATAGACATAATGGTTTTTATACTGTACAAACTGTATTTTCGATTGTTTAATGACTTCCACCAAAAATTAATATCTGTAAAAAATAAAATAATAAAAATGCAAAAATATAATGTTTATACCTTGAAAATATTGTAAAAGTTATATATATATATATATATATGTATATTAGGTGTGACGAGACACTTATCCCACGAGACGAGACACGAGACTGGGTTCACGAGAACAAGAACGAGACGAGACGAGACGAGATTTTTAGACTTTTTTTTTTAAGAATTCCTCAATGATGAAATATATAGGGAAAAATAGTCTTTTATTCAACTGAAAAACACAAAATGCAGATAATTTGTAGGTGCATTTTGAAATCAACTTGTACTTTATGAAATGAAACATCTATTTTAATACATTTTATGCAGTAATAAACAACATGTATGGTGAAAAGCGCTGTACAAATAAACTTGATTTGACCATTTATAAATCGTATAAATAAAAATAAATAATAAACAACCCAAATATCCCTTTAAAGTGGAAGTGAAGCAGTCAGTCAAGTTTACATTATTTAGTAAACTGATTTCCACTTTAATAAAAAAATATATAATAAACACATTAAATGGATACATTAATGTATCCATTTAAAAGAATAAAGCAGTGGTTCCCAAACTGGGGGGCACTGCAAGGCTGAGGGATAGTTAGGGCCTAAATTCCGTTTTAATTTTCTGGATTCCATTTTTTTCTGTTTAAATTTTTCTCGACTCCTTTTTAATAGTTCAATTAAATTTTATTAATTAAAAAACATGTCTAATTAATTAAAATCATCAAACTTATAAATTTTCACATACATGTTTTAAAAGTTTAACAAAAATTACATGTTTAGGGCCCTATGAAATGTTTTATTTTTTCTCACCATATTATTTATATTTTTTATTGTTAACAAATTCTGTGTTTTAGCATGTCTAATTATTTGAATGCATAAAACAACTTAATTTATTCATTTTGTTTTTCTTAAAGTAGCCTTGTGATTTTTTTCCCCCTCAGAAATTCTGTGTTGTTTATTTAAAATTTTCTGGTTATCAAATGAAGGCATAAAACATTAATTTAATTTATCATTTATCTTTTAATTATTGAAAATTAAGCAAACAAGATTTTTTGGCAAACAAAGGGGATTTACTATTAAAATTAAAACATTGAAGAAATGTTTTGTGTGATTATTCCTTAAAAAATAGTGTTTGTTTCATTTTAGTAGTAGTAGTAGGCAATGTACATTCTACTGAAAAATAGTTATAAGGCACAATGTCTTCAAATCAAACCAAACTTTTATTTTGACGGGTTGCCGTGAATACCTTTAAAGTTCTGTGTTTGTGATATGATGCTAGTTTTACTCAAATCAAACGCTAAAATGCTCATGAAGTGACTCTCAGAGCAGTTCTGGAGATGTTGATCATGTGTTTACGTCCCCATTTAGTGAGACGGCAGACGCTGAAATCACCGCGAGTGTCAGGCGTGCTTCAGTGTGTGTGTAGTAAATGAAATTGTGCGTCAGCGCCATTCATTAACAGAGACTCACCTACCTGTGATTTTCTAATGATCCTGAAGACACTGATTAGCTTGCTCAGCTGTGTTTGATTAGGGTTAGAGCTAAACTCTGCAGGAAAGTGGATCTCGTGGGCCAGATTTGAGGATCCCTGCATTACACGCACACACACAAACATACAATTAGATTTTTAAAAGATTTTTGGATTTTTTTACTTTTTTTTTTATCACAGGCACTTTTATACATCCTTGGCCCTTCAGCTGTATTGTGAGAACAATTGTCTGACCTTGCTAATGTACTGGCATGCACAATGCACATGACCGCAAATCTATGGTTCATATATGACACTGAGTCTGCAAGATGGAGAAAGCAATGTGACATACCACCTGCCCCCTTAATCTCTCGTCTACAGCCTCCCAGAAGCCCCACACTGGGCACTCCCATTTCTCCTTCTGACCCTTCGTGACAGACGCTGCAAAATACCTCTCATTTCTTTCCGAACTTCCAGCCAGGCTCAAAGCATTCCACCTCTCACACTGTTCAACCCCTAAACAGCATGTGACTCTCTACATGCAGTAATAATTGACTCCTGGGGGACACTAGGAAAGCAGGAATCGTCACAGTAATATAAGAATTAGCCAAAGCCCTGTGCACTTTTTCAACTGATTGTGTTGAAAAATAT